ATATTCATTTCTCCTGTTACAAATTGAACCAATAAATTTTCCTTTCCAAATTAAATGCTCTTGATTTAATCATTATATACCTAGAAACACTAACGATGACAAGTTAACTTGAAATGAAGTTCTCATCAGTGCAAATGTGAGACTAAATAAGATGCAAAAACTAGTCTGATCAACGTATGCTATGTGTCGAAAATGTGAATCAAATTTGTATCCCAAAGACAATATTGCAAAGGCTCATCGAACTTAGAAACACCGAAGAGCCAAGCGCATATAAAGCAAAAGAAATGAAAGGAATCTAAAACCAGGATATGCCACTTACAAGGCTCCTTTTTTCTCACTTAGCTTGAATAAATGGAGAATCTCCTGATTCTCATTTTCAGCTCCTTTTTTCCTCTTCTCACCTGCAAGACAAGCAAAAATCTTCATATCCTTGAAAAGGAGATTTTCATGGGCTTGGATATGGAATGGAACGCTACCTCCACTAAGAAAAGGAGGAGAAAAGTAAGCTATCCAAAGCATAACCCTAAAGCATATGCCATTGCTTCCAAGGTTTATTCCATCTGTTGAGCCAAAGCTCCAGTGTATATAAAGCTTGTAATGCGTCTGCTAGCAAACTAAGAAGCATATTTTGAAGAGAAGAAGAAGAAAATCTGGGGTTTCTTTTTGTTTTTAAGCAAATCAGTTGTAGGGCTTCTCTTTCTTGGCAGGTATGTATATATATACATATATATATATATGTATATATTTGGTGATTGGAAGAAAAGACTAATCTCCAAACCTGCCAAAGGAGAGTTGCCCTCTGACTGTTTTGGCTTAGCTTAATCTACATGCGACGTTAAAAACTTTATGGTAAGTGACTGAGTGATGATCATCATGTTAAAAGGGAACAGTACTGATCGCGTCGTTATTTTTTCTCCATTGAGTTTTTTAGTGTATATGTAATTGGGGCCCTCTTATATATACAAGGCTAATGATCATATGTTTTTAGTTTTCTTTATTATGCATGTCATCATAAGTATCAATCACCATACAACCACGAACCATCAATTACTTTGGAAATATTACTTTTCAGGAAGATAATTAAGAACTTTTGATAGAATTATTAGTTGAATAAAGCTTCTAAAACTAGCTTTACTATGTTATATTTCACGTCTTCTTTACTCTTGTCAAACCACAAGTCTAAAAAGTTTTCTTGAATTGAATAAAAAGATTATAACAAGATAACAGGTAAATAGGCCACATTTCAGTGATATCGGGCTGACTTTACATGAGTGGACTAATTTTCACTAGTGTCTTTTTAGGGGAAATTTCACTGGGCTCTTTAATCCTATTATTCTAATCATAATCACACGTTTTAGTACAATTTTCCTTGTTTAAGTTCGTACAAGAACATATAGCGTTATAAAAGACGAACGTACGATAGTTGGTAAAAGCAATCTGATTAAACTTTGGTCATGAAGAATGAAATCAATTTTTTTCACTTCTATAGCACATATATATATATATATATATATATATAATAGATGCAATTAGAGTCTTGTCTTAGTCAAAGTCCATAGAAAATATTTCGTTTCAAATTCTGAGCAAATACACTTATATTTTCTTCCCTTAGCTAGTCTTCACTTTCACATACAAACGGTGAACATCAATATGATTACTTACATAATTTTCTTCTTTAGTCCCCGCTTTCACATTCAAATATGATTTTAGATGTGGCCCAATTTTAATTTTGTAACAAAATCCTGATGATGGTTTTTGTTATTGACTGCTGATCTTTCACTCTGATAACTTGAAAAAGTCTTTGAGAAAATTTTATAAAAATTTTTTTTTTGAAAAAGTCTTGCACCTTGGGGCTGTCGAGTGTCGACAAATAAAAAACAGTCGCATCATTCAAAAGCTAGCCCAGGACATCTTATCTACTTATAAATAAATAAATAAATAAATAAATAAATAAATAAAGAAGAAGAAGAAGAAGAAGAAGAGAGGGAAAAACACGGGAAAGATGATCTTATACATTATTAGTATAGTCTAGTACAAGAAGTCAACACCAGCATTCCCATCTGCAAGTCTTGTGGTCCGATGGTAAGTAGCTGCCTATGTATTGAGGTTGAGAGTCTTTAATATTTTTGCACATGGCCATCGCGAAGAGACCATTCAATGCAACAACCAAACGGTAGTACTACCACTAAAATTAATTAAATTGGAGATTTTTATGGTACGCTTTGAAAAAATAAATTATTGAGTTTTAAATTGTTAGATCTCTATAATAAACTGATTATTCTACATACATTTTTATTTTGATGTGATTTTAATTAGATTCAACGATTGAAAATTCTGATTACAGATAAAAACCCTACCTTAAAAGGATCTATGTAAATTTATTCTGTTGAAAATTCTAACTTTTCGGATTCAAATTAACCCTTTTTGTAGTTGATAGTTGGAAAAAATGGAGAATTTACCTTTGAGAGTGTACAAGTCTAGACCTTTACTCCTTACTCTTGATAAATACCATTTTATTAGTGTAATTATTTGACTAAAAATATTATGAGTCAAGAGTAAAGAGTAAAAATCTTGACATGTGCATTTTTAAAGAGTATTTGTCAAGATTACTCTTGATAGTTTAGAATTCACCGTTTGGATACTGCAAAGTGCAAATTGTACAAGAAAGCAGTAACATTTTTAGAGGACGTTTGGCTGATGGATTTAGAATTATAATTCAAAATCATTCTTGATTTACGTGTGTTTTTTATGAGAAAAAATACTGTAATGAGTCACGAATCATGATTCGAATCATGTCACGAATCCTTGAACTAAACGCACTCTAATAAAAACTAATGGGGTCAATGTCATTAAACATGTATTGAGTTCTTGCAATAGCCAACTACCCGTTTAGAAATGATAATAATATAATAAGGCCTCGTTTGTTTCGATGATTCGAGTTTAGAATTTGAGTTGAGATGTGATTATATGTGAGAGCTTTTTACTGTAGCAAAAAAGTTAGATGTGATTGTTTGTGAGAGCTTTTTACTGTAGTAAAACTCAAATTCTAAACTTAAATCAGCGAAACGAACGAGGCCTAAATGTTTAAGTGGCGACTGACATATCGATGTTACTTAAAGGAATGTTATTCATTTCATCTAAACCCCACCAATATTACGCATGCAAATTGCTACGCGGACAGTTATTAAATCCCAAATGTTATAAAATTGTCCGAAATAATGTTCCTCATGAAAACTTTGCATTATTCACATAAAAGGAAAAAAAAAATGAAGACGACTTGCTATGTATAAGAATTGGTAAAGCGTAGTATATGATTATAGCATGCTTAGTGTAATCATTTTTTTTTTTTTTTACTTTACATTCTTTATCTTTTTCTTTCCCTCTACTTCTCCCAATCATTCCAAAACACAAGGACAGTCGTACTTATTTTCTTTTCGCTTTTGCTTTTGTTGCCATTGACTCAATTACTTTGTTGGACCCCGGTGGCTAATATGGTAGAATTCCCACTGTCTAGAAAGAAGAAAAAAGAACCCAATATAACTTAAAGGATGTTTGATTGTGGGATATTTTTTCTCATAAAAAATATGCGTAAATTAAAAATGGTTCTAATCACATGGTTCTAATCCATGAACTAAACAGACTTTTACTCTTTTTTTGCTATAACTAATTACAAAATTGTTAAAATACTCGTAGGGCTAGAAAAAAAAATAATTTTAAACTATTAGTATTTTTCTAATTTATTATGATTTTAACTAGATTTGCATTATCTAAAAAAATCCCTAAAAAAGCTTCTTACACATGTAAACTAAATAAACCCTAGTTTTGGCTTAATTTAACACAAAATATGGATTATTGGCGATTAGAATTGGCATAAGATAAGATTTCTCCTCTCGCCTTTTTTTTCTCTCTCTCTCTCTCTTTTTGCCACCTAATATGTGGCGGTGCTTTTTCCTACTTCATACTGATTCTGGGACGAATGGAGCGTCTAGTGGAATTTTCCAAACTTAAGCCTTAAGTAACTTTCAAGCACTCAAGGAGCCTTTCACGCTTAAAAGCAAATTTGGGCCCCCATTGATAATACTGCCGGCACTCCTCTGGCTCTTTTTGTCGTCCACTTTTGTTTTCAAATTATAAATTAGAATTACCAAAACAAAACAAAAAAAAAAAAACAAAAACCCATCTTCACTTAGACACTATCGATCGGTTTGAAGATTTTATTAATATCATTTTTGTTGTATTACCACTACTTAATCACGTTTCCAAATGGCATTACTTTTCCAAAAGTGCAAAATACAATCAACGTTGTAAGAGTTGGTCTTGTCTCATTATTTTTTTCCAACTTTGGAGGCTACGTCTACGACATCATAAGTTGAATTTGAGTGATAAATTAAGCAAAAAAAATAAAAAAAAAAGAATTTAAGTGACACAAAAACATTTAATTATGAATAAAGTTGTTGATTTAGCTTGTAGATTTTGATTGGCTTGCAATCTTGTTGAGTGAAGCTTTCGATAACATTTTTGTTGATGCCAAGTGCCAACTTGATAGATGGAGACGTATTGATGCATAGATTGGTCCGTTTAATCAATTATTATCGGTCCTTGGTCCTTTCCCCTCTCAATATTAGAGATTAATGTGACTAATGAGTGTTATTAAATCTCTATAATAAGATATGCTTACGTGGCATCCCTTACAAATTCAAACCGGCTAAGGAGCAGGCATCAAGTTTAGTACGGTCAACTTTGTGATACGAAATGAAAGAGTCAAAATTACATGCCATGTTCCCATTAGCCATCGTGTATAAAAGCTGAAACAAAATACATTAAACAAGGTCATAATTCTACATTTTCCTAAAGAGGAGAGAGAGAGAAAAGGAACTTCTTATAAAAGCACCACTGCCGACGGATGATTTGAGTGCAAACAAGAAGCTTATAGGTGGAAACTTTGAGGGCAATATATATATATATATATATATATATAACAATATTTTCTTTTTCTTTTTCTGCGATAGAGAGAAGAGGAGAGAGGCCAAAAAATGAATTCACCAAGGCTGAAAGAGGCCTCAAAAGTATGCCTTCACAGTTGTTGTCCAACGCCTTTCCTCAACATGCCGGAAGAACACCAGAAAACCGTGTCCAAGCCCGCCCGAACATCTGTGGTTTGTCGCCGAGACTTTCAACAGAAAACTGCAGCCTCCATATTTCCCAACACTCGTTTCACCAACCATGAATCTCTCCCTTCTCTCAAAGAATCATTCCTTGAGTTAAAAAAAGCCTATCCTCAATACGTTGAGACACAACAAGTTGATGACACAAGAGCTCAAGAGTACGACCACCTTTCGCAGTCCAATCACGCCTGCCTTGATTACATAGGCATAGGCCTTTTCTCTTTTGCCCAACTTCAGAAACATAAATACCAACTAGTTTCCCCCTCCTCCTCTTCCTCTCCTCCTGCTGCGCAGCCATCGCATTCCCGGGGTTTGAATTTTCCCTTCTTTGGCATATCCTACAAGACGGGGAATTTGAAGGTTCAGCTACTTCACGGCGGACAAGAAACCGTGCTCGAATCCGCGATGAGGAAAAGGATCATGGGCTTTCTCAACATCTCCGAAAATGACTACAGCATGGTTTTCACTGCCAACAGAACGTCGGCTTTCAAACTTGTTGCAAATTCCTACCCCTACAAGACTAGCCGTAAGCTTTTGACGGTTTATGACTATGAGAGCGAGGCAGTGGAGGCGATGATCCATAGCTCGGAGAAGAGAGGAGCTCGTGCCATGTCAGCAGAGTTTTCTTGGCCCAGGCTGAGGATTAACTCGTCGAAGTTGAGGAACATGATAGTCAGCAAGAGGGAAAATAAGAAGAAGAAGAGGGGACTTTTTGTGTTCCCACTACATTCTAGGGTCACAGGAGCAAGATATCCTTATTTGTGGATGACAATAGCACAGGAGAATGGTTGGCATGTGTTGATCGATGCTTGTGCGCTGGGACCAAAGGACATGGACTGCTTTGGCCTGTTTCTCTTGAGACCGGATTTCCTCGTTTGTTCTTTTTACAAGGTTTTTGGAGAAAACCCATCTGGGTTTGGATGCCTCTTTGTCAAGAAGTCTGTCATTCCAATCCTGGAGGCCTCAACAAGCACAGGGATAGTGAATATCGTCCCAGCAAAGGAGCTGCTTCAATTAGCGGAGGATTCGTCCGGTACTGATCTAGAAATTGAACAGCCACCTAAATTTGGCTTGGAAGAAGATGGATTAACTTCGCTGAGCTCCTTCTCGGGTCCTTTATCAAATGAAACAAACCAGTTCCAGTCTCAAAAAGTGGAACAAGGAGAATCCTCTGACTTGCGAAATGTAGAAATAACCGGAAGATTAGAAGGACCAAAAGGTTCAGAAATGGGATCATCAGAAATACATGTTGAGCACGCCAAAAGCGGCGGAAATGGAGACCAGGAGCTTGAATGCAAGTGCTTGGATCAAGTGGATTCACTTGGGTTGATATTGATAACGAACAGGTCGAGGTACCTAATAAACTGGCTAGTGAACTCTTTATCGAAGCTTGAACATCCTAATAATGCAGAGGGAGTTCGTTTGGTAAGAATCTATGGACCAAAGATAAAATTTGATCGAGGTCCAGCGTTGGCATTCAATATATTTGATTGGAAAGGAGAAAAGGTTGAACCTGTTCTGGTACAGAAATTGGCTGATAGAAGCAGCATATCTCTTAGCTATGGGTTCTTACATCATATCTATTTCTCAGATAAGTATGCAGAAAATAAGGGGAAAGTCCTAGAGAAAAGAGAAAGAGGAGCAAATCAAATGGTTGCAAGTAATTCGAAGGGTAAATGTGATGAAGGAATAACTGTGGTTACAGCTGCACTTGGGTTCCTAGCCAATTTCGAAGACACTTACAGGCTCTGGGCTTTTGTAGCACAATTTCTGGATGCAGACTTTGTGGAGAAGGAGAGATGGAGGTATACAGCTCTTAATCAGACTACAATTGAAGTTTGAACAAATAACAAAATAACAAAATTTCTTAATTCTTTTATTTCTGCAGTTTAGCAAGTTGATATATTTCATGTCAACTTCATAATATGTATATTTTCCAAAGAAAACAGAGGTATTCAATTAATTCCTTCAAAAGGATGACTTCAGAATCTTTCAGACAGTTCATTCTGTTATGGTGTTATTCTCGTAAGTTGTATCTTTAGTATTCTATACTTCATCCTTACACATGATAATAGTAGCAGAAATCTAGAAGGGACAGCAAGCTAGCATCTAAAACGGTTTAGTTTTTTTTAGTGGGCACTAATTCAATGTTAGTGTGTCATTCTTAGGCAAAGAAGTTAAGACCAGTATATCGATAAAGAACCTGCTATGAATTTTCACATTTCAAAAGGCCAGAATATCTATAAAGGAAAGAAAATGCTGTATCATTACAGCAGAATAAGATATATTAATGAGTGATTTATTAAGTAATTGCTGACATGATACCTCAACTCTTCCATTGGTGTGGGAGCGTGAACATGTATTTTATAAGATAACCCATAAGTTGGACTATTCTTCTAGAGATCTCCAACTTCAGAGACTTTTCCAAGTTAGTTTATGAATGCGATGGATATAAATTGTTTATACCTATGATGAGTAGATATCAAATATAAAATCTAGTCGTTTTCATAGAAAGGAATAAACAAAACGGTTTGCTACATGGTTTATAATCTGGAAAAACAAAAGGTCTACATTGGTGCCTCTAGTGCAGTGCCAGGAAAATGTTGGTCAAGCTATCTCTTGCCAGAACGCTACTGTTTGGAACTAATTATAAGGCAAGTCTCATAGAAGTTTTTATTTTGTTTATATTTTACTAAATAACTTCTATTTCATTCGTAGTATAATATTGAATAGAAAAAAAAAAAAGAAAACACACACACACACACACCTAGACAAACAGAAGGCTCCAGACAAAACAAAAGAAAAAACAAAGCAAATGGAGCATACCTCTTCAATCAAAAACAAGGCTGCCAGACTCATAGTAAGCAGAGTTTTAGACTTTGACCAAGGAAGCTACAGAGAATGATATCAAGTTAAACTCGTGTACAATAGAAATAAAATTGGCATCAACTGTTCAAATTTCTTGCCATCGTCTAATAAAGAACCTCTTTAACTTGGTCACATTCAATACCTTAATCCATATTTGATACATGAGTTACCATTGTCTCTTATATGTGTCTTATAAATGTATGTTTACTACCAGAGATTATTATCTTCATATGCTGAAAAAGGAGAAATAATGTTGGTTTAAGTTAGAAGCACCAAACTCAGAATACATGATGGCAATTAAATCACCGTCTCTGTTTACACATGAAAGTGCAAATCATTATTTGAATTGCATGAACATGAATACATCCTCAAGATTCTCCTTGGCCTAAGTCACAACCAAAGATATTTGTAACGGACGCTTGAAAACCAGGCCATGAATCCTCTTCCCCAAATTCGAACCACAAGTACGCGAACTAAAGTCGCCATATTAGGCTCAACATCCATCCTCAAAACCAAGGCAATGGCCTCACCAAACAACCCTGTCCTTACAAACCCAGATAGTAAACAGGTCCAAGAGAGCACATCTCACACAAGCATTTCATCAAACATTTTGCCAGCACCATCGCTGACATAAAAAACACAAGCGCAATCAATGACACCCACAGAAGATTTTCCAAAATACTCGACGACGCTGTTAGCTACCAAGCCATTGTAGAACAGACCAAATGTCATTTAAGTATTTCTTAGTAGTACTAATTGTTGGACTTTAATTTTTATTCCACATTTTAAGAATTATTACACTAAATTATTAAAAAAAATAAGGTAAAATAAATATCTGTCTTTATTGGTGCAGTTTTAATCTTTAATAAAATTTTCTAAGATAACAAACACGTCGAGTTATTATCTTTTTCAATTAAATCACTAAATTCTTAAATAAGTGTTCTCTCTCTATATGAGAAAAAAAGAAAATGACTGAATAATTTAACGTATTCAAAATCATAATTTAAATTTTTTTATATTATCCTATTAAGCTCTCTTTATACCTAAGTAGATTAATATTATGTATGTATTTAGTTAATCTATATTCAATTAAGAGATTATTTTAACTCTCTATAATTACATCACTTAATTAATTTAATTAATTAAATAATGTTAATATAATTATTATAAATATGTGTTCTACAATTATTATTAAAAAACGTAATTTCCTAACACCAATTACATAAACTCCGTTCTGATAAGAGTTCTAAATCACCTATCTTCACGTATAGCTACCTGAGAATGAGAAACCAACCTCTTCTTATTATGTACTCTGTAATCCAAATACTGTGATTGAATAATACAAGGGAAACCATATATAGCTGCAAACAGAAGTCAGAAGCTCCCACAAAAGCTTAAGCTGTTAGGAGGTGGGCCAACAATAATTTTTATACTTTAACACTCCTCCTCACGTGTGGACTGGACAATGGGCAATCGTGTGGATAAATTAATTGAAAAGTCCAACACGTGAATATTTAAGCCCGCGATATATTAAAGACCCAACACATGATGACAATTTTAAATGGGGATAAAGAGTGCAATTACAGGGGTTTGAACTCATGACCTCCTGCTCTGATACCATGTTAGTTTACCAATCCATCCAAAAAACTTAAGCTGTTAGGAGGGTTTGAACTCATGACCTCCTGCTCTGATACCATGTTAGTTTACCAATCCATCCCAAAAACTTAAGCTGTTAGGAGGTGGGCCAACAATAATTTTTATACTTTAACAGAAGCTCCCACAAAGCGGGAACAGCGTGGCTGTAACTGTAAGTGTCCGTTCGGTTCATATGTATAACTTGATTAGAGATGGCAATAATCCCCACGGGATGGACCCCGCTCCGTTCGGAGCAGTGATGGGGGACAATTGTTGGAGATGGGAATGAAAATAGGGACAAAATCAAGTTCCTCATCCGTGGCGGGGCGGAGACGAGGGAAGTACTTTCCACCCCGCCTCCGAACGACAGCACCGCGAGATCCGGTTCGAGCAATTTAAGACGGCTTTCAATAGAAAGATTCTGCCGGCAAATCACCCGGAGAGCGTCCGCGTGAGGTTGATCACGGACGACATCGTAAAGGCTCTCCAGAGACGCCTGAAGAACGAGCGGGTGTGGAACGACGTGAGAAATGCATAATCGGAGAGCTTCGACACACCTCACGTCGAGGAGGCAGCCGCCGGGCAAGAAACGGAAGGAAAGAAGAACTAAGAAGTGCTTCGGTGAAGACGAGATTTTTCGACGACAAATGGGTCTGCGAGATCATGGACGAGAAGTGGATGCAGGAGACGAGGAAAAAAGGTTTACAACGTGGGTACCAGGCAGAGACGTCACATTTGGAAGGATTGAATTGGGAAGTTCTCGTGGTTGATAAGTCTGTCGTTAAGGCCTTCCGTTTGCCCCGTGGAAAAATTGTTGGGTGCGGAATTGATTTTAAAATGATTTTTTTTGAATAAAAAGTAAAAATGAAATTTATTCTAAAGAAACGTTTAATTTATGGATTAGAATCATGTGATTAAAATTATTTTTGATTTATGTATATTTTTTATGAGAGAAAATACTATAGCGAATCACGAACCATAATTCGAATCAGAAAATAAATCCCCAACCAAACAACCCCTAAATTAATTTTAAAATTATATTTGATTAATTTTTTAAGAGATTATTTTGAGTATAATAAAAATATAAAATAGTATTTATTAATAAATATTATTGATAAATATTAAAAAATAAAAATAAAAATAATAAAAATAATTTTTAATAATTTTTAATTTCTTCACAAAAATCATTTTTACTGTTTCATTTTTAAAATATTTACTAAATAAACATGTTTTACTTTTTTTTATTTTTTATTTTTTAAAATACGTAAAAATTGTTTTTAAAAACATTTCTAAACATTGTTTTCACGGGTTTGCTTGAGCACTTCAAGAGTGACGCCGAGTTCGCCGCTGTACTTGGCCATGAGGTATGTCTAATATTAATTCCTGTTTGTGATGGGATTCTAGCTTTTGCTTTCCTAGTGTTTGCTTGTAGAATAAAGTCTTGCTCAACTATCATGTGTTTTTCTCTTACGCTTTTATGTTGATTAGATCTTGAGAATGCTTTCTAGTTATGGTCTTCAATTCAATTCATTTATTTTTTTCCCCTCTGGGAGCCAACTGCTTCTGGTGGGCATTGCCAATATACGGGATAAACATTTCTTTTAGAGTATTCCATTATCTTATGTTTCATACATGTTACTGGCCTGCAAATTGGATAAGAATTTTGTTCATACATTTTTAAGTATGGCAAAATGTTATATATTGTTGGAGAAAAGGGAGGGAATAGTGTTATTCTTCCTAATTGTTAGAAAAAGGATATAGTATAAAATAGTGAGTGTAATAGAATAACATGAAGAGAAAAAAAATATATATATATATTTGTAGAAACTTATTCTTTGCGATTATTTAGATCTGGTCAAGTTTAATCTCTGCTTTCCAGCATTGAAGACGCAATAACATTAGACCTAGTAAATTCAGGCAAATTTCTGTAGTTACAATTGAATTCTAACAAATTGATTGACACACACCTGGGCAGCTATTTGAGGGTGCAGTGGGCTGTTGGCAACATTTTGCCATGATCATACAATAAGTAGCAGTCACTGTTGCTGCAGGTTCTCAGAGTTTTTCTTCGTTGTCGCAGTGTGAATCGTGCCTTAATGTCTCTGTGTAGATAGCTCAAAGTTCTTGAGCTTAGGAATCAATAATAGTGTACTTTGCTCCCGTTCATTTCACATATTCGAGTTTAAAATTTAAGTTTTACTACAGTAAAAAATTCTCAGAAACAGTCACATTTAACTTTTTTACTACAGTAAAAGGCTCTCATATAAAGGCACATATCAACTTAAATTAAAAACTCGAATCAGTGAATTAAACAGGCCTAAATTATCAAGAGCAAGCTAATGAGTAAATTTTTGGAAGTTCAATTGCAACATTGCTCATGAGGAGAGCAGATACTTGAATACTGTTACTTCTCTATTGGTAAACTAAGAGCTTGCAAGATCTCTTTTAGCTTCTGTAAGTTATAATGTTACTAATGTATATAGAGGCAAACTCAACTCAAAATTATCACTCAAGTTACTCTAACTTAAAAATGCAAAACAACAACTCCATGGTGATGTGGGAAATTCTAGCTATATTAGCCGTTTTTAGTTGCATTGTCGTTTATCTACTTAGCTTTACTTTTGTTATTAGCTTATCATTATTTGCCTAGTTTGTCGTATGTCGTAGTAGTTATCTTGTTATACTTTTGGAAATGGGCTATAAATAGCCTCATTACCAATTATATTAGGGGGATTTTGAATATTTTGATAATTGAATTAGAGTTAAGTTTTCTCTCTAATTTAGGGGTTTTCCTTTTGTGGGATTTCTTTTAAATAGATTCAAAAATCCTCAGTCCAAATTATGTTGGTAAGATCACGTTCTATCTATTCCGCTGCGTTGTAATTATTTGTTTCCTAGATGGTGTTGATCCCTCCTTAAATGTCATATAATTATAAAGGCTGAGTTTCGGAATTAAAAAGAAAAAAAAAAAGAAAAAAAGAACACGTCATTTAAGTGAAAATGTTCAAACTCAAGAGCTCAAACGCGTCTTAAATTCATGAAAGGGTTCTTTTGAGTCTCTAGCATACTTTTCTTAGATTCTTGTTCTCAATGTCAATGTAGTAGAAGTCAATGTTCAAGTTGATCTTTTCATGATTGTCAGGATGGATGTGGAAGCTGATTATATAGGACTGTTTTTTATGGCATCTGCTGGGTATGATCCTTGTGTGGCACCGAAGGTGTTGTGCAAATCATGCAAGTTTAACGGAGTTTTTCTCAAATGTGAGATTATTTTTCGACCCAGCGGCTCGGCACATCTGTTACCTTGCTATTTATGTGGGGTTGAAGGTTTTGTTTAGGTGAAAAAAAAAAAGTCATCACCTTGACACTGATGTAACAGTTGGTTTTCTCCTAACTTTCAGTTTTTATTTTTCTTGAACATCCCCTTGATGGTAAATTTCTGAATGGGAATTCTTTTTCGATCAAAGGATTTGTCTTTTGTTTCCGGTGTAATCTAGATTTTTGACTTGAATAATGTTACTTCTCTATTGGTAAACTAAGAGCTTGCAAGATCTCTTTTAGCTTCTGTAAGTTATAATGTTACTAATGTATATAAAGGCAAACTCAACTCAAAATTATCACTCAAGTTACTCTAACTTAAAAATGCAAAAGAACAACTCCATGGTGATGTGGGAAATTCTAGCTATATTAGCCGTTTTTAGTTGCATTGTCGTTTATCTACTTAGCTTTACTTTTGTTATTAGCTTATCATTATTTGCCTAGTTTGTCGTATGTCGTAGTAGTTATCTTGTTATACTTTTGTAAATGGGCTATAAATAGCCTCATTACCAATTATATTAGGGGGATTTTGAATATTTTGATAATTGAATTAGAGTTAAGTTTTCTCTCTAATTTAGGGGTTTTCCTTTTGTGGGATTTCTTTTAAATAGATTCAAAAATCCTCAGTCCAAATTATGTTGGTAAGATCACGTTCTATCTATTCCGCTGCGTTGTAATTATTTGTTTCCTAGATGGTGTTGATCCCTCCTTAAATGTCATATAATTATAAAGGCTGAGTTTCGGAATTAAAAAGAAAAAAAAAAAGAAAAAAAGAACACGTCATTTAAGTGAAAATGTTCAAACTCAAGAGCTCAAACGCGTCTTAAATTCATGAAAGGGTTCTTTTGAGTCTCTAGCATACTTTTCTTAGATTCTTGTTCTCAATGTCAATGTAGTAGAAGTCAATGTTCAAGTTGATCTTTTCATGATTGTCAGGATGGATGTGGAAGCTGATTATATAGGACTTTTTTATGGCATCTGCTGGGTATGATCCTTGCGTGGCACCGAAGGTGTTGTGCAAATCATGCAAGTTTAACGGAGTTTTTTTCAATTGTGACATTATTTTTCGACCCAGCGGCTCGGCACATCTGTTACCTTGCTATTTATGTGGGGTTGAAGGTTTTGTTTAGGTGAAAAAAAAAAAAAAAAAGTCATCACCTTGACACTGACGTAACAGTTGGTTTTCTTAACTTTCAGTTTTTATTTTTCTTGAAACATCCCCTTGATGGTAAATTTCTGAATGGGAATTCTTTTTCGATCAAAGGATTTGTCTTTTGTTTCCGGTGTAATCTAGATTTTTGACAACCTATGGAATTCTATGTTCATTTTTTTTTTTCTTACTAAATTTGTGCTCAAAGGATGAAAAGAAAAAAAATGCAAGTTCTTGTGTCATCTTAATAATGATTCGTGGTTTGTGACTTGAAGCTCTCACAAACAATCACAACTAACTTTTTTACTATAGTAAAAAGCTATCACATAAAGTCACATCTCAACTCGAATTCTAAACTCGAATCAACGAAGTGAACGAGACCTTGGTGTATTATATTTTCTTAGCTGGTTGCATCCTTGTTTTTCTTATTTCTCTCTCGCGTCCATGCAGATGCCATAGTTCATAATCCATACATTCTTGTTAAGCAACTAGTACAATAAATATTTCCATCAAGAGCTGAAAATTCATCTGCGTACTATGAAATGTATATTCCCCTCTATGGATCATCGTATCTTTCAAAGCAATAGAAAATTTGCATATTATTATTATTATTATTATTATTATTATTTTTTAGCCTACAAAGAATGATACCCGAGTTCAAACTTGTGTACAAGAGGATAAAATTGGCATGTGAACTGTTCAGAATTTCTTGCCATCGTCATGTTTAATACCTTAATCTATATTCGATATATTTTGTACCAGTGTACCTTATATATATGTTTTACTACCAAAAGAATATGGAAGAATTAGACATTAAAGATTATCTTAATCTGCTGAAAAGGAGAAAGAATTTTGGTTAAATTAGTAGCACAAAACTCGGAGTAGATGATGGTAACTAAATAATTGTCCATATTACACATGCAAGTGCAAATCATTATTTGAATTGTATGAACATGAATACATTCTCGAAATTCTCCTTGGCCTAACATTTCAGAAGGCAGAAACATGGTCTCAACTGTGACAATATTATGATAAAAAGAATTATCAACTACAACGAATCCCAACAGTGAAGCTATATACTCATCTTATAAAGAATGGTTATGAAAACTCTTGATTAGAAAGGAGACTGAGCACTACATGGATGTCGTCATTTTGAGGGTGGCTAGAATCTCCAACCAGAAATTTGTGCGCCTGACCGTTTAGCTCTATGACACTGGACCCCGGTGCCTTTTTGATACCTTTCTCCTTCATTAGCCTCCTCACCCTCGTTACATCAGCCCATCTTTTGTTGCCAGCATATATGTTAGATAGGAGCACAAATGCCCCACTATCTTGAGACTCAAGCTTCAGGAGGCGATCCAATATTTCTTGGGAAAGTTCGACATTTCCGGTGATCTTGCAAGCACTAAGAATAGCTCCCCATATCAGCACATCCGGCACCATGGGCATAGTTTTTATCAAGTTTTGGGCCTCATCCAATAGCCCAGCCCTACATAGCAAATCAACCATGCAACCATAATGTTCTAACCGTGGAGAAATATTATAGGATTCTCTGGTCATCTGCTGAAAGTACCTACGCCCTTCATCAACCAAACCAGAATGACAACAAGCTGTCAAAATGGCTAGAAAGGTCACCTCATTTGGTCTGGTGCTAGACCTTGTCATTTCTTCAAATTTTCGGAGTGCCTCATGCCCATGGCCATGCATTGCCAAACCACCCAGCAAGGCATTCCATGTGACGATATTTCTAGAAGGCAGTTCATTGAAGGTTCGCAATGCAATGTCTATACAGCCACACTTTGCATACATGTCAACCATAGCAGTCCCAACTTGAATATCCCATTTAATGCCCCTACGATCAATATACTCGTGGACCCATCTACCATAATCAAGAGCTCCAAGACTAGCGCAGGCTGAAAGCACGGCAGTAAGTATGATTTCATCAGGTTCAACACCTGAAGGCTGCATGTTGGAGAACAACTCTAATGCCTCTTTGGGATGTTTACATTGCGCCAATCCACTTATCATGCAGGTCCATGAAACAATATCCCTCTCATCAAGCTCATCAAAGATCTGCTTTGCCTCACACAACTTTTCACACTTGACATACATATCCATCAGAGCATTGCTCACAACCAAAGGTATATGCATGGGACGCTTGAAAACAACCCCATGAATCCCCTTCCCTACATTCAAATATCCCTTTCGGCCACAAGCCACAAGTACGCTAACTAAAGTCGCCATATTAGGCTCAACATCCATCCTCAAAAACAAGGCAATGGCCTCATCAAACAACCTTGTCCTTACAAATCCGGATATCAGACATGTCCAAGAGACTACATCTCTGACAAGCATTTCATCAAACACTTTGCGAGCACCATCGCAATCACCGCAAACACTGTACAAATGAACCAGCGAGTTTTGCACGTAGACATGACATGAAAAACCCATTACAACAATCACACTGTGAACCTGTCTACCTTCTCTAATTCCCAAAAACTTGGTACAAGATTTCAAAACTGCCGGGAAAGTAAACGTATCAGGCATAAAACCATCTCTCACTATCCGTCTATAAACCAAAACAGCTGCTTTCGGCATTTCACTTCCAGTGTACCCAGAAATCATTGTGTTAAAAGGGAAGGAGTTCGAGCGCCAATCTAAATGTTTCAGAAAATCACAAGCGTAATCAACGACACTCGCTGAAGGTCTTCCAAAATACTCGACGACGCTGTTAACGATCAAGTCATTGTAGACCAAACCAGTTGTTAATAAGTATGCGTGGATTTGCTTGAAAGATCTCCAGTTATTGCATCTTCGAATGTAATCTAAGACAGCCCATTTTGAAGAATGCATAGCACTTGTCGAATCAAATCAATAGCAGAAACTCCGTTTTGAGAAGAGCTACTTGAGAAACCAAGCTCTTGTATTTCTTCCTTTTAGCCAAAAAAAAAAAAAAAAAAAAAAAAAAACCTTTTTTTTTTTTTTTTGCAGAGTTATATATTCTGTGGCCCAAAAACTGTGATTTAATAATAGAAGCTCCCATAAATCGGGAATTGTCTCCATCAATAAAAATGCAGAAGCTCCGATAGTTTGCTATAATCCCGGGTAAAATATCAATTCCTACATGAGTTTCAAAAAAAAAAAAAAAATCATCAACATGATCCGAGTGTGAGTACCTTTTTAGCGTAAATTGTTATTTTCGAGATAGAAGTTAAAAAAGAGTTGTCTAGTACATGTATATAAACACAAATTATTATTCTCTTACAATATTCCTTTTTATAAAAAAATTAAATCAAAAATTTGAATCAAAAGTCAAATTGAAGTTCAAATGCACTTCTTAAAGAGCTTTTTAAGACCGATAGAGTATATCTTATTTATTTTATCAATTTAAATTTTATTATAATAAAAAAAATTTATAAATAATTACATTTAATTTTTAATTTAAATCTAAACGAGTCTGCTTCACTCCCATCTTTTTTTTTTTTTAGGAACTCGTCCAATCTTTAACTTGTTGACTTGCGTGTAAGGACTTTGATTACGACAAAGAGGTATTACACGTCTCCACGTGTCGATCACGGAGCTAAAATGGTCCCCACAAGAGAGGCAAAGATGAAAACGCGTGTCAGCTGGGCCAGCCTGGAGAAAAGGGCTTTACGGAGACCACCACGCCTAAAAAGAGCAACAGCGAGGCCCACCTGTCATACGACACGTGTCCCACCATCACATGACCGAACCTCGTGGCCCACAATAAAAACACTCAGCATGGTCCACGCACCACCTTACCTTTTTTCACCATCAGTGGACCCCCCTTACCTCGCACGTGCACAGCGCAGTTCACGTGACTCCTCTTCCTCGTGTGACCACATCAGTTCATCACTCATCACGCAGGCACCATTTGACGCATCCCCGAAAACCAAAGGGGAATGGGACCTTAAACCCCAAAAAAAAATTGGGTCATAGCCTTATAGGAAGTAGTTGGTGTTCGAATTTTACTTTTGTCAAAATCTAATTGGGAGATTTTTTAGTACATATCACGTATTGATAACTCAAGTTTTTTAATTATTAAATTTATATATTTTTTAAATTTTATATGTTTATATAGATTTGATAGACAAAAAATTATATTACGGGTATGTTGACGTACTGAGAATGTCCCAATTTAATAATATCAGGAAAAAAATCAGAACTAACTCTCAAGATGCTAAAAAATATTATTTATATCACTCTATTAAAAATAAATAATTATCATTCAATTTATACAAAAAATTGTAGTGACACTTAATTATTTAAAATTACATAAATAATAAATTTACACAAACCATAATAAACCATGTAATTTTCTCTAGTATTAATGAATAATTAGACTGTAAAACTACTAAGTAGTTCTTAATTTAATTAAAAATAAAAGAAAGAACTAGGATCCATCTCCCGGCACCTAAGCCCAACCTCACAGACCATTCAACTTTTGCATATGTCTTTGAGTTATTTGGGGTATGTTCTTTTAAAGTATGACTTGAGTATAGTTATTGAGTTAAATTTGAGTTATAACTTGAGATAAAGTTGTAACTTCAGTTCGTGTTTGATTGTGTACACTTGAATTATGGTTTGAGATGAGAATCTTTTTGAATTTATGTTTGAGTGCATAATAAGACTTGGAGTTGTGAATAGTGGGGAGAGAAAAAATAATACCACATCATCATTTTAACTACGTACATAATTCAGGTTTAGAGCCATTTATGAAATTTTTCAAAAAAAAAGCCTTCTAAATAACAATTAAACCAAAAAGAAAAAAAAAAGCCTTCAGGCACCAACCCACTCTCCCCAGACACATCAATCGCCCAATAAATGACATCCTCATCCGCCCTCGAACCCAGATAAACGACAGAATCTCCCACCATCTCAACCCCGGACTTTGCCAACAATTCCTTGCAATCCCACGACCCAATCCACCCAAATCTTCAAATCCCCTCCGACGACGACACCAAGGGCCTCCCCGTCCTGAACAACAATACCTTGAAATCCGTAGAAGCCTCCACATGGCTGCTATCCAGAAGGCATGTCTTGACGGCCTCGAGAGCTTGGGAAGGAGAAAATGGGTGGCCAGATTTTGGGGTCTTGGAATGGAGGGGGTTGCCGGTGAAGGCGTGGGATTGGAGGTTTATGACATGGTGGTGGTGGTGGGGATGTGAGAGAGAGCTTGGGAATGGATGAGTTTAGAGATAGAAAATGTTGATGATATTGATGGTGATGAGAGAGATAGGGGAGAGAACATTATGAGCAATAGAGTAAACTTGAATTGATGGGAGGGGGTAAACTCGATAATGGGTGGTTGACTCGAATAAATTTTCAAGTGAGCTAAAGCCGAACGCAAACTACGCCCAAGTTATTCACTCGAGTACATATAATCTAAGTGAGTTAACACAACCTAACAGGCGTTTGTTATCTATATACCTTGTGTTTACGTTTACTGCGCCTGCTTGCTCGCTTTTCAGCTCAATGTTTACTCAAAAAACTTTTTTTAAGAGTAATTTACACCGGTAGTCCTTTAATTGTTTATTAGGTGACACTTTAATCTCTCTTCTTTTACTTTTGGTGAAACTATTCCTGAACTCTCAACACATTAGCAATTAAGTCCTTTCCGTCTCATTCTGTTAATTTTTTAACATAATCATGCACGTGACCCAACAAGGGCTCTCTTTTTTAATAAAAATACCAAAATGCTCTCAAACTACAAAAAACAACTCAAATCCTAAAGAATAAACCCAAATAAAAAAAAATCATGAACGCAAACCCATATGCTCTTTGGAGCTAGCCATCATCATCGGCTAAACCCCCAACCCACCGCAAAACTAAAATCACCATGCAATCAAAATCGCAGAAACCTAATTGATATATTCATATAGAGGGATTGTCCAAATTTGATTTGAGCGATGAAAAAAAAAAGATTCCCACACACACTCAAAGAAAATTCATACAAATCACATGCATTAGGTAAAGCGTCACAAAACAATTATCCCACGAAGAGAAACATCAGAGAAATAAGTATTAGGGACAAGGGAAAGAGAGACCATCATCCCTCCAAATCTCTAGCCAAAACATGTTTCTAAATTTTGCAATTAACCTTAATCACGAATGAACCTAGTCAAATTCATACAAAATCATAAAAATCCAATCAAGAAATGGGTGGTCATAGATTTGTGGAGAGAATCTCATAGTGCGAACCCCCCACCACTTCTGGAACCCTTTCCTCACCACCTCCAGTGCACATCGTGAACTTTCTCGTCCCTCATCGTCCCGAGATTGGGCTACCCATTTCCCCACCGTCACGAGATCGAGTTGCCCCTTCTTCGTCATCGCGAGACATAAGTTTCCACTTCCTCCTCCGTCGCGAGATTGAAGTCCCTTTCCTCGCAGTTGCGTGATCCAGACACCCCCTCTCCCTGCCAATGGTCTTCTCTTTCTTTCATTCACTTTTTAGGTTTTTAAAGTATGCACATTTTCTTCAGAAAGTATTAGAAAGAACGCTTGACGATTTTTTTCTTTTTTTTTTTTAATGAATTATGAGTTGGGTATTTTTATTTTACCAATTTACCTACTTGTATTGGCACACATGCGTTTCACGTGATGTAATCTGTTAAAAATTTAAAGAAATTTGACAAAAATGACTTAATCAACAATGTGTTGAGAGTTCAGGGATAATTTTACTAAAATTAGAAGAAAAGGGAGCAAAGTGTCATAAATTAAAGAGTTAAGGGACCACCGATACAAATCACCCTATTCTTAATATTTAAATTATTGCAAATAGCCCTTAGTACGCAAATTTACATATTTTCACTATCAACATTCTGTTTAACATTTAAAACTACTAAACCCCTATTTATTTTATAGGTTCAAATTACTATTTAATTTTTTTTACTATAGTATTTTATCTCATAAAATTTAAATTTATGCTTAAATTTTTCGGTTTAAACTTACAAACCAAACGAACTATAAATTAATTTTGGTGCCGGTAACATACGCTACTAATCACAATACCCTAGCAAGAAAGCACCTTATTTGAATTGTACGAGTTTATCTACCAGTTTATTTTATCGATTTGAGTTTAAAATTTAAATTTTATTACAATAAAAAACTCTCAAAGACAATCATATCTAATTTTTTTTTACTACAATAAAAATTTTCGTATAAAATCACATTTTATCTTAAATTAAAATTTTAAATCAATAGATCCCACGTATAAAAAAAATTGACTTGTACATACTGACAATCGCAACTCTAAGCCACAATTTGGCTAGAATCATAATGATCCTTGTCCAAAGTAAGTAAAAAAAAAAAAAAAAAGAACTGAAGCAAAAGCCTTCAAACCCTTTTGACTTCAGAGTCTCCTCTGGTAATGAAGAAAAAATATTATATTATAATATAAAAATTAAATTTAAATTTTATAAAAAAAATACTGTATTTGAGTTATAAATAAACATACCTTATATTCACAAAACTAGAAAAACCAAGAAAACTGCGATTGTAATCTTGTTCTTTGTGCATTACAAAGTAAAAAAAAAAAAAAAAACAGAGAGAGAGAACTGCTCTAGTTACTCCAATACAAGTCAATTAACTTTGTAACTAAGCTAAACCTAAGAGGGAAAAAAAAAGAGAAAAAGAGAGAGGATCTGAATCTCGTCAAAAGTCAAGGCTTTGAACATTGAGTTTGTGAATTGGAAGACCGACCACCCAAGAACTGAAGCTCCTTCTTGTCATATATTTCCAAAGAAAAGTCCCTCAACATCTGAGTAGCACTTGTTGTCGTAGAACAAGAAGAACTAGCACCAACACCATCACTAGTACTAATCATTGCATTACTTGTCGTTTCCACAGTAGACGAAAAAGTTTTGGAAACCGAACCGGACGAAACTTGCGAGTCACGGAGTTGAACCGGCTGCAAAGCCGAGACGAAATTCGAAATGGGCCTCGCTTGGACGCCGAAAAACGATGGCGTCGCGGCGGCTGCCGGAATGGCCCAAAGTTGGGCGTGGTTGGCCAAGCCAGGAACGGCCCCAGAGTTTGGGAACATCAGAAAAGGGCCAGCAGCGCCGCCATTGGGCCCCATCGGCCACAGTGGGACCAACCCTTGTGCCGCCCCATTTCCATATGTCGTTGGCGCTATGGGGGCCAGCCCAGACGACACTGAAATCTGGTCGTTTACGTCGACGAACTCGCTGTTGGAAGCTCTCCTCCGTCGTTTTCTCAGGACTTCGGCGATCTCGCCGTTCGGCCTGGCCGGCGAAGTCGTCGGAATCTTGAGGGTCCCACCGACCGAGACAGCGATGGCCGGGACCGTTCCGGTGCCGGTGGCTTCGATGATCGCCGGCTCAGCGTGCTCGAGAAGCCACCGGATGGTCTCGCCGTCGGACTTGAGCCCTAACTCTCTCGTCAGCTGGAAGATTCTGGCGGCGCAAGTCGCCGGCATTCTGATCCTCCGGCCGCGACCCTCCACCTTCGTGTGGCGGTCCTTCGACGGCCGTTTCGCCGCCACGACCTGCTTGTTCCCCGGTGACGGCACCTGAAGGAGGCCCATGGGGAGAGACTTCTCGTCCAATTCTCTCTCCGCGTCCGAGAATTCTTCCTTCATTAAAACCGCCGGCTGCGGTGGCGGAGCTGGAGCCGTCTCCTCCGCCGAGAAATTAGACTCCGGTGGCTCCGGCTCCACGATTGACGCGTCGGAAGCCGAGACGTTGTCGTCACTGTTGGTGCCATCGATTATTTCATCGGTTTCCTCCATGAGCTACGTGAGAATCTGGAAGAAACCAGAGGATTTAAGAAAGACCCAGAAAAATTTAAGCTAAACCCAGAAAAAATTACGCAGAAAAAGTGAAGAAAAGCATAAAATTCCAAAAATAAAGAGGAATAAAATCTGAGTTAATAGAGGAGCTTACTGTTTCTGCAGAAGTAAAAGCTTTGACTTGGGTTTTAATCTTTCTTCTGTGGTACTGTTGAGGATGATTAAAGAGAGGAATCGAGGATTTGGAAGGAAAATTTTTCTTGCTTTTTGTTTTTGGTTAATTAAAAACTAATAAATATTATTAAGGAGAAAAGGATCAGAGAGTACCAAACCCTAGGAAGAAGCAGCAGCAGCCCCCACTTATTGAAGGGGGACCCTCAAACAATTTTCTTTACTTATAGGGAGGTGGAGCTCCATCGACGGTTGAGGGCGTTTCACGGACATCATGAGTGTTGGAGATTTTGCCACGTGGTGGATAGGTGGCCTTGTTTTGTTTTGGTCACAATTAGGAGATTTTTTCCTCAGTGGGTCGGTCCGGTTGAGTTGAGATTTTGGGTCCCATTTGGAGATAGCAGATCCGGTTGGACAAAAGTCCACTTCCCCTTCTTCTTCTTTCAAGTAACAAGAAATGAAAATGTACATGGCCCATGTTCTATATTAAACATGGGAGTTTTTCTTTCGTATAAAGATTTGAATTTAAAATTTAAATTTTATTATATTAAAAAATTTTTAAAAATTATCGCATCTAATTTTTTTATTACAGTAAAAAATTCTTATATAAAGTCATATCTCAATTCAAATTAAAAACTCAAATTAACGAACTAAATAGACTCATAAACGTAATTTTAATCATATTTAAGGGTAAAAAATTGACTACTTGATTAGTAAGAACATTTTACTGGAGAAAGTCCCGTCAAACATTCAATGAGGAGGACCAATTTTTTTATGTTCAATTTAAAGAAAATCTGGACTGATGAAATGAATTGTTTTTTGTTTAATCAAATACTTGAATTGGTGTAAATTTTTCGGTAATAATAATAACAATAAGAACATTTTCAATATCCAAAACGACATGTTGTCCTTTAATTGCCCGTCGGGTTATTGCTCTCCCACAAAGAACCACACTCAAAACTTTATGCGGCATATTGATCTTAGTTTTATGTCGTTGTTGGTAGGAATTTGATTTAATCGAAATAAGAAATATCACAGCTTGTAACGTCAAGTAATTTGAATATCCTATCTATCACTTTCCCTTCCATTATTATTATTATTATTATTATTATTATTATTATTTCGCCTTTAAGAGTGGCATTGTTCTGTAAAGAGTTGGGGTGGGAAAGATTCCAAAGTACAAAATCTCAAGTTTTATGCATTTCACATATTCGAATTTTGAGTTTTAGATTTGTGTAGTTAAAAACTTTAAAAAAATGTTATATTTAATTTTTTTTTGATACAGTTAAAAACTCTCAGAAAATATCACATTTCAATTCGAATTAAAAATTTAAATATGCAAAGCAATCGAGGCCTTAGATTCCAAAGTTCCCAAATGGCTAGATCTTGTGCTTCTTTTTGCTGAACTCCCAAAGATCATAATTTATCTCTTTTAGAGGACTCATTTTGCTTCAAATCATCCTCATAGTCACTGAGCTCTCGCTGAATGTATACTAAGTAGACCGGTCCAACTTTAAGACAAGCCTTGAATAGTTGCATAGTATTATTCATTGAAAATTGATTTCCAATTCTGCAATATACAGATCATGTACAGTTGCAAATTGGACATGGTTATAGCTCAATTGGTATCAGTGATCTTTTTGCCTCTCTGGAGGATCTGGACTTCCCATTTATTTTCCTTTTCTTTTTCTTAGCAGCCAATCAGTCTTGGGAAGCTCCCTAATTCAATATTAAATAAACCAACAAACAAATAAATGAAATAATAAGCCAAGCAAATAAATATATTGTAGTACACAGAAATGTGTACTGATCATCTTCCTTAAAAAAAAAAAAAACAAAAAACAAAATGTGTACTCTCTCACCAACCGTACGCCTTGTATAAACTAACTTGATAGACATAAGCCAACAGCTACTTAATTGGGTTTTGCTTATTTCGGAATGCTTAAACCTTAATCTATTGTCATCCCCAAAATAAGAAAAAAAAGATGTTTTTTATGTCGTTTCTCAGAAGCAGCCATTGATCCAGAACGTTCAATTGGTAGAGAATCCTAAATAAATAACATTTACAAAACCAAAGGCTACAAAAATAATGTGTAAATACCCCTGAAAAAAAAAAAAATCTGTAAATAGGCTTTATAATCTTTAGTTTGTTGATCTTATAAGATAAAGCATCCAGGTGTAAATACTTGATCTCAAAGCACAGCAGCTGAAACAATGGTCAAATTTCTCCAGCTTGTTCCTCTATTGAGTAACTTAAAAGCTTATCATATTATGAAAACTTTCAATAATATCCTAAAATTGATGTGTTAATTGGTCACTTGATTTCACTATATAATGTAGCCAAAATTTATATGAAACTCATCAGTTGATCTCGTCCTCTTGTTGTGTTCACTTCTTTGGCCTTTTTATCAAATGGCAAACTTTTTGCCAAAGACCGTTTTCTGCCTTTCTATTCTTCTTATGTTAATTACTATAGCTCCGCAATCAAAAGCGGCGCTAAATGCAAACTATTACAGCCAAACGTGTCCACAAGTTGAGAAGATCATACTGGAGACGGTTTATAACGCCTCAGTCCGTGACCCCAAAGTCCCAGCTCGGCTCCTGAGGATGTTCTTCCATGATTGTTTCATTAGGGTCAGCCAAGCTTCTCATATAAAATACATGTTTCGTTTAATCTTATGAGATCATGATTCATGATGATATTTTTTTTTGGTTATTTCTAGGGATGTGATGCGTCGGTATTACTAGACTCCACCGCAGGGAACCAAGTGGAGAAAGATGGCCCTCCCAATATCTCACTTGCAGCATTCTATGTCATTGATGACGCCAAGGCTAAGTTAGAAGCAGCATGTCCTAATACTGTTTCTTGTGCTGATATAGTTGCTATTGCTGCAAGAGATGTGGTCACAATTGTAAGTGATATATGTTTAATCTCATCGCTAATTGATACATAACACATGAAAGTGACGAAGTCTAAGATGGTATTTATTCAACATAACAATGACGCCAGAAATGTGTGACAATAGTTTATGATATGAAAATGAAGAAGTCTAAGATGACATTTATTCAACATAACAATGACGCCAGAAATGTGTGACAATAGTTTATGATTACTAAATTTGTTGGTAATATTACATCTATTATGTTGAATAAATGTTATATTATACTTCTCACTTTCATATGTTACGAGAAGGACCATCAAGAAATTCTTAATTTATACATAACTTAAAAAGATTGATTATTATATTTCTAAATAAGGTTTACTTTTGTTAATTTCTTGTCAATCCTAACTAGTCTGGAGGCCCATATTGGAACGTTCTAAAAGGGAGGAAAGATGGAAGGGTGTCTAAAGCTTCCGAAACCGCTAATTTACCAGCTCCAACCCTCAACTTGTCCCAACTCATTCAAAGCTTTGACAACAGAGGATTAGGAATCAAAGATTTGGTTGCTCTCTCTGGGGGACACACGCTCGGGTTTTCGCATTGTTCTTCATTCGAACCTCGTCTTCGTAATTTTAGCGCTTCGCGTGATATTGATCCAAGCATGAACATTGAGTTGGCTCAAGAGCTGAGAAAGAAATGCCCCAAACCAAACAAGGATAGAAATGCTGGGGAGTTTTTGGACTCAACTTCGTCAACTTTTGACAACAACTATTACAAGCGTTTAGTGGCGGGAAAAGGCGTGTTTGGATCGGATCAAGCCTTGGTTGGTGATTACAGGACTAGGTGGATTGTTGAATCGTTTGTCAAGGACCAAAGTCTCTTCTTCAGAGAATTCGCGGCTTCTATGGTCAACCTGGGAAATGTTGGGGTCACTGAAGATGGAGAAGTGAGAGTAAAATGCCGAGTCGTGAACTAATATATATATATATATATATATACATGTATATATATATATATGTATGTATATGTATGCATGAGATGAGACTTGGAGTTTCTCATATGTATGTGCGAAGAAAGAGAGACAGAGTAATAAGGCGAATTTTTTTCCTTAATTGCGAACGTTGTTTGTTTACGTTTAATGAGAATGTAAAGCAAGTTTCTATTTTGAAATTAAATAAGAATGTTGATATTTTATTGTCACTAAGACGAAATAATACCCAAAAAAAAAAAAAAAGTGTGTGCGGTGCCTAGTGGGAGCGTTATGAGAATTAAAATGGATATTACAGCCTTAATTATTTTTCTAGTCAAACGGTGTGTCGTTTATTCACAACCTTAATTAGTTGATGTACCATGCCCCAAGTATCATGGTCAAGTATAATAGTCAATAGTCACTATTGTATTAAAATTTTCTCTGAACTTGATTAGTTGGAATTAAAAGGGAGAAAAAAAAAAAAAAGAAACAGTGTCTTGGTAAAATTTGAGCCTCTCATCTTTTCAATTTATATGTCGTTTTGCTTGACATTTTTCTTAGGTTGGTAGAATAACCTTTCTACTATTTAAAGTTTGTAAATGAATTCTATTGAGTTTTACATCTAGTTTTCACTATCAATTTTGTTTCCAAATCTTGTTTTAATTCAGAAAAGCCTATTTTATTACTTTCCGAGAGTTTATAGTGATCATGTGAAAATTTTTTGCGCAAGTATTTTTAATAGAGAAGGAAAATTATTATTTCCAAAAGGTCCCTTGGTATGTGTCCTGAAGAAGTCTTTTTCTGTTTAAAGACAAATGGTGATCTTTGATTGCCAAATAGTATCATCAATATAGATCAATATATCGAGAAAGTAAAAATGAGTTCTGGCCCTATCGTATCATTCCCACTAAATAATTCCTAACATATCATTTAGAGATTAAACAATAATCAAATAAACAACCAGCAAATAATCTTATCAAAGAAAGCTTAATTATATTATTAAACCGCTGAAGGTCTCAAGGTGCCAATGAATACGATTTCAAAGTCTCCTCATATTCTACATGTGGTATCAATTTGGAAAATCTTTTTTGCAGTTGTAACAGACAAGAGGACAAGAATTTTAAAAATTCCTAAAGAGAAATGAGCAACCTTTTGAGGTTATAAAAGAATAACCTGAAATCTTTGCAAACAAAACATACTACTATAAATACGCCTAGTTATAACTATACACTCTACAGCCTGTTGAAGAAGTGAACACAGCAAAATGGCGAGGCCATATTTTTGCACTCTTTTCTACATTTTGTCGTTCGCAATTTTTTTTTCCTCATGCAGTGCCATTCGCAAGAAAAGAGGGTAAAAAAGTTTTTTTTAAAAAGAGTTTTTCTAGTATGCTAGACTTACCGGTTATGTCAGTTTATAATCATTAAATCATGTCAAAATCATATCAGATTGAAAAATTATGTAAAATAAATAGTTTCTGATACAAATCTGATAATTGAAAATAAAAAACTACCTATAGTTTAATTTTTCTGGTCCTACCAGAGAAATTCTTTTTAAAAAAATCATGTTCTTCTTCCCATTTAGGAAAAGGGCATTTTGATCAAGTTTCTCATGAAATTCTAAACGATTGTTGAGTCTCAAATACATGCAGGTTCATATTGTTTACATGGGAGATAAACCAAAGGGCCAAATATTTGGGGGGTCAACTTCTTGTTCCGAGCACCGCTCCATGCTAGAAAGCGTTCTTGGAAGGTCAATGAAACATCTAATTTTTCTAAAATCTACTAACATACAATTAATTATAATTTGATTGGAATGGTATAACAAAGAGAATACTTGTATTTGTAACAGAGCATATAAATTTCTATGTGGAACTATTGAGTAGTTATCATTATGGAGTGGTTAATCATGCGAATCACTTTTCGAGTTCGTAAACTAATTTTTCGAAGTTAATTTCAGCGCTGATGCAGCAAAGGAATTGCTAATCTACAGTTATGGAAGGAGTTTTAATGGATTTGCAGCTAAACTCTCTGATGAAGAAGTTGAGCGTCTATTAGGTGAGAGTTTCCAAGATCATATGAAATTGTTGTCAAAAAGTGGATACGTTATACATCCTTATTGTTGATTTGCGTTTTGCAGATGTTGATGAGGTTGTCTCAGTTTTTCCCGACACGCCATTGCAGCTTCACATGACAAGATCATGGGATTTCTTGGGACTTACTTCATCTGATGCTGGCCCGTTACATTCTGAAAGAGATGTAATTATTGGTTTCTTAGATTCAGGTCAGAAAATGAAACCTCACGGCTCACTCTTATTTCCCTATAAGTAGATATTAATTTCTGATATTTTTGGCTATTTTGTAGGAATCTGGCAAGAATGAGATAGCTTCAGTGATGACGGCTTCGGACCTCCGCCTAAGGAATGGAAAGGAATTTGCCAATCTAATGAGAATTTCACTTGCAACAAGTGAGATTTTCTCTGGTTTCTCCTACTCCGCTATTTGGAGTTTATTACTCTCTGTGAGTTCTGAAATTTTCTACATTTTGACAGCAAGATCATTGGAGCCCGATAATACAACAGCAGGAAAAAAAAAGGAATTTCTACAATACCACAGACATTGAGTCCCCAAGGGATTCGGCGGGTCATGGGACTCACACTGCTTCAACTGCAGCTGGCAGAAGTGTGGATGGAGCAAGTTACTATGGCCTAGCTGAAGGGTCAGCAAGAGGTGGCGCACCGCACACAAGAATCGCAGTCTACAAAGTTTGTTGGTCGTTTGGCTGCAGTTCTATGGACATCCTTGCTGCTTTTGATGACGCAATTGCTGATGGAGTCCATATCATATCGGCTTCTCTTGGATTGGCATCAGCCTTGCCATATTGGAAAGACCCTGTAGCTATTGGATCATTCCGCGGAATGAAGAAGGGGATACTGACTTCGGTCTCTGGAGGAAATCATGGACCAGAACGTGGGGTTGTTAGTAACCCCTCACCTTGGTTGTTGACGGTAGCAGCTACAAGTTTGGACAGGAAATTCGTGTCTCGGATGGTTCTTGGAAATGGGAAGACATTCATGGTGGGAGAAATTTTCTTTCTTCTTACATTTGACCTTGGTCCTACCAAACTATCAGTTTCTTCATTCCATTGATTATAAGTTGATGAATCGTTATAGGGACATGTCATCAACAGCTTTGACCTTAATGGATCCCCGTTTCTATTGATTTGGGGAGGAGACGCCACAAACTTTTCAGCCAATTCAATCTCCTTAAAATAGAGACAATGTCTGCCCGGAGACCTCGATTCAGGCAAAGTTAAAGGGAAATTGTTCTTTGTGAATCTCACTCGGATGGCGCTGATGTTATCATGGCTGGTGGGGTGGGTACCATTATGCCTGGACAGGTTCTCAATGATGTTGCCTACCCTCTCCCACTGCCAGCCACATTGATCAGTAAAGAAGACATTGGCAAAGTATTGGAGTACATCAGAACTTCCAAGTAAAGTCACCAAACCCACTTTCCCTGCAAAATCAAAAATAAGAATAAAAATCCAACTGCTAAAAAGAAAGCATTTTCACTTTAAGAATACTGACACCAGTGATTCTCAGAAATCCAAAGGCAACCATTCTGGCTACTGAGATTTGGAAAGATACTGTGGCACCTTATGCTGCCCCTTTTTCATCAAGAGGCCCCAACAGAATCAATCCAGATATTCTCAAGGTACATTGTTGTTGTTGTTCTTGTTCTTGTTGTCTTTTGAGGGTAAAAACTCACCTACCAAGATTAACAAGATTTACAGTACTCTTCATACGGGAGAGTTAATCCGTAATGAGGTGAACATGATTGTTATTCTTATCAAGCGAGCTTTCCCCGTCGACATGTCGATTATACTAAACCATACTGTATGAATTACTAACAATCTTTTTTTTTTCCATTATAAAACTCTATCAGCCTGATCTGACTGCACCGGGTGTCAACATCCTTGCTGCCTGGTCTCCAATGGCATCCCCAACAGTTTACATCAGTTTACAGAAAGGACACAAGAATATCCAACTTCTATGTAGACTCCGGAACATCCATGTCTTGCCCACACGTCACCGGAGCCGCAGCCAACGTCAAGGCCGCTCACCCAAACTGGTCCCCAGCAGCAATCAAATCCGCACTCATGACCACAGGTTCACACACAACTTTTCACAAACACCTTATCTGCAAAACTCAAAAACCAAACTTTCTCAACAACTATTTTTACCAGCGACTATCATGGACCCAAATCAAGACGACGACCGAGAGTTCGCGTATGGCTCCGGTCTCCTCAACCCGGTAAAGGCGGTCGACCCTGGTCTGGTCTTCGACACGTCGGAGGAAGATTACGTGAAATTCTTGTGCAAACAAGGCTATAATTCCACCACAGTGAGAACCATCACCGAAGACCATAGCGTTTGTAAAGGCGAGAAACGAGGCAGAGGATGGGATCTCAACTACCCATCATTTGCTTTGGCCATTAAAGACGGCGATAAGATCAAGGGAAGCTTCAACAGAACGGTCACGAACGTCGGAAATCCAAGCTCCACCTACAACGCCACCGTCGCAGCGCCGGAGAGTTTGAAGGTAAAGGTGGAACCGAGCGTTCTGTCGTTTGGTGCCTTGGGAGAGAAGAAATCGTTCAAGGTGAAGATCGAGGGGCCGGAGATCAGTCAGGTCCCGATAATCTCCGGCTCCATCACTTGGAGAGACGGCGTGCATGAGGTGAGGACGCCGATTGTCGTTTATACGGTTATTCCGTCGGCGCTTTCTATAGATCCTTTCGAGAGAAGAACAAGGAAGACGACACCTGCTTCGTCGTTCATTACCCCAAGAAACGACATCTTTTACAAAGAGTACTGAGACCGTGAATGTGTCGTTTTTTAAATAATAATAGAGAAAATAATGTTGTTTTGAATGTCGTGCGCCAAAAGTTTTCCGCTGCGTGAGCTGGCTTGTGATACAGTTGATTATAATTACATCCATCAAGGCTGATTTTAACGTACGTGTTACTTGGCTTAATAAATGTTACTTTTAGTTGTTGATGCTTTTATTACCTTTGGTCCGAAAGTTAGTGGCATGCACAAGTGATTTTAATCATGATTGGCTTTTGGTAATTCGTACTATTTTGTTTTTCATGTGTAAATAAAAAGTATTTACATTCTCTTAAGAAAAAGTTTTGACGTTCTTTTGAGATGGATTTCATGTAGCCTAAACACACG